GATCAGGCTTTATTATCCATTTGCACTCCTACTGTGTAGGATGGGTTTGTAGACAGTGGATTACAATGGAGTTATGGCTCTACTTTTATGTAAGAAAGGAAGAAAGTTCATGAGTATTTTAACATTTAATTCAATTATTTTACCACGGAAGAGGATGATGGAGAATACATGACAAAGATAACAAGACGAAAATACATCAAAGTATGTAAAATGATTCTTCCAAATTCTTTCAAATCCGTGAAAGTCTGCAGTGCTAGTGTTCTTTTAAAATCATCTCAAATCCATATAGAATATAATCTGTCACTTTAAAAAGTCTTCAATTTTTTTTTTAAATTTTAATTTGATTACACCCTTCTAAATATTTATGTTTATGAATCCAAACAAGTAAAATCATCTCAAATCCATATAGAATATAATATGTCACTTAAAAAAGTCTTCAATTTTTTAAAAAAAAATTTAATTTGATTACACCCTTCTAAATATTTATGTTTATGAATCCAAACAAGAAAATTGTTATATGTCAATTTATAAAGTCAGACTTTTGCCTAAATTTAAAGTTACTTCCCTCATCAGAGTGTTGTTTTAGTAAGTCATTCAATTTATAAGCAAAAGCAACCAAGTGGATACAGAGTCATATCAATTCATCACATTACACAAGCACGGTCTCTACACAGATTACATTTCTTTTTAACAAATTAATTAGCACTTTTTGGTGCACATGCATGTACGGGTGAGGAGACTACATTTGCCTCTGGTGAATTGCTCCTTTCTGCATGTGTGTTTACAGTTGTTAGACGAAAAGCACAAACCCTTGAACAAGGTGCTTGGAAACTCGCAGATCTTTCCCTCAATTGCCTTGCTAGACTCAGTCCTTGCCTCAACACCAATTGGCCCCATCTCTAAAGATCATTTTTTTTTTTGTTGAATAAGATGCTTTAATTGAAACATCATAAAAAATTAATTATTAAAAAGACGTATAATTACCTGTAGCGGCCAAAAGTAGGACAAGAACGAAGGCGGCTGAAACAAGACGTATTGAATGCTCCATTTGAATCTGTGTGTATGTGAGTGTGTGCTTGATATGTGTGTTTATGTATGCGTGCTTGTGTATGATAAGAGAGATCTTAGACGCTGATGCAAAGAACAATAACCATGCAAAACTTATTATATAGGGATATGGTGCAGATTAATGAGGATCAATCTCCGTAAAGTGAGGTATCTCCATACCCAAAATACAAAGTTGAAATTTCCAACTTAAGAGGCACCATAAACCAAAGTCCTACTTTTGTTGACTAAGTTCTCCGCCATACATTTTTCTATGCACATTAGGGTTTCTTTTTCAAGCACATTTAACTTTTGCTTTTAAAAGAATATTTAAGTTTTAAGCACATTTGACTTATTATTCACATTTTATATGTAAATGAAGCGGTATGTATATATATCTCACATAAAATACCATAGTTCTTATAACAATATATTACTGCGTTAAGATATTGTGAGATGTCAAGTGCAATAAAAATTCTTTTAATTAATTCTATTCAAATCTAGAAGATAAAATATAATGAGAGGTTATGTAGGTATAGTTGGAGATAAATTAACATATTAGGTGATTGTAGTAATGCCAAGTTTAATGAATTTAGGGGTATTCAATCAAGATTTTAAGTGATTCTCTTAAATTCAAGGTGTATTCAATTAGAAGAATTTTAAGATAGTTTATTAAAATCCTTAGAAATCCGGGTGTATTCAATTAGGATTTTAAAGAAGTTTATAACATTTCAGGTGTATTCAATTAGAAATTATTTTTTAAAGAATTGGAGAAAGTTGAGGAATTAAAGAGAATTGGAGAGATTTTGTAGTGTATTTTAAGCATCCACAAATCTCACATTTTCCCATGAGATTTCGAGGGAATTAAATCAAAATTTTATATGAAATCTCTACAAATCAATTAAACTCCATAAAAATCCATGAATTTATAAATTCATTAAAATCTCTCAAATTCTTAATTGAATACACCCCCTTAGTTTATTTCATTGGATTTTACTCTGCAAGTTTTGGATGTTACCAGTGACTCCACTTGAGGGCGTTTTGTGACATCCTCTTACCAAATGACAGGCTTGCTGTTTTGAACTGCAAGAGTGAAATATGGAATATAAGTTCTATCACATGTTGATCCATACATATTTCTCAATGGGATATCCCCGGACATAATATTTAGATTGTCGGTTTATCGTAGACTAGTAGTAGGGTTTAGTAGTAAGTCACTTAATCTGCACCGACATGATTGTATATGCATAATTTTAGCCTAACCTGTAACTGTTCAAGTAGATTAGCATTCAGTTTTGAGTTTCTAACTGTTAGATTGTTTGTTCGATCAGGTACCTCAATTGGGAAAAGATATGCTCCAACTGATGAACTGGGTGTACCTTTTGCAATCACGGTTATTTCCCTCACCAGAGTGCTAGTTTTAGTAATTTAGTACCTCTATAAGTTTTTGAACTTTTGATTTGTCTGCCTGTCAAGAAGTCGGTTAATTATCAAATGGGGAGCTCACTTTTTTAGTACTATTTAAGACTGATTTGGGATTGTGGTGCTTTAAAAAAAAAAAGTAGTTTCTTAAATAATGTGAAACATCAAATGTGTTTGGTAAAAAAAAAAAAAAACCATAGAAAAGTGGAAGTACGATCTACCATGCTTTTGAAAAAAGTGTTTTTCTTTCGGAGCATAGTGATCAATACCCCCTACCCCTATGAGCATATTCTACAAAACTACAATCTTTGCTCCTACATTATTTTTTTTGGCAATTATTATACCACATTAAATATCATATATTTTTTAACCATTTAACATATTCACAGCAATTTTATATCAAATTTTACCAAACACTCAAAATACTTTCTTTTTTTTGTTACAAAAATAGTTTATCAAATACTCAACAACTTTATTTTAAAACTATTTATTCTTACAACACAGCAAAAACAATTTTAAAAAAAAAGGAATACCAAACTAGTCCTTAATATTTTTAATCACAACTTCAAAAAGTTCATTGATCAAAATTGGAATGAGAAAATTCTTAGGGACCATAGAGAAAACTTGTCATTAGCCGAAAACAAATAAAGCTAGTAATAACTTCTAAGTGCTGTGGAAATAGGAAAGTTGAAGTTGGTGGTGGGTCACGGGTTGTTCAGTAGCGGGTACGAAAAATTCCATCCAACGGCTCTCTACGCATCAAACGGCTTCATATTTCAAATGAGCGACCCCGCCCGCCCGCCCGACAGCCACTATTCAAATCGCGCGACTGAACGTCTCTTACTCGACAAGCCCGATCTCACGCGATTTTGGGTGTTATAAAATCTAATTTCCCATTTTACCCTTGTGCAAATAGGATAAATGGATAACAGCAAACACGAGATAATTACAACTTCAAAAAAAATTGTAAAACATGAGGAGACAGACAGGACCGACTCCCTACATGAAATTATAATTGAGATTCTACCTAAGAAAAAAAAATATTATTAATTAAATTTTCAATCATTGGTAATTTAAAAGGAAAACTAATGAAAAGAGCTTGAAAACTTTGAGTTTTAATGATAAGGACAAAATAAAGAGTAAAGTGAATAGTACCAGGATTGACTTTTTAGTGTAAAAATGTGGTTTTTCGTTAAAGTGAACAATACCGGTTGCTTTTCGTTAAAGTTCCCTAATTTAAATATGTTTTAGTACATAAAAATTCAGTGAATACAATCAGTTGAAGTTGATTAGGCACTAAGAAAAAAAAATATTATTAATTAAATTTTCAATCATTGGTAATTAAATTTGTTTTAGTAGATAAAAATTCAATGAATACAATCAGCTGTAGTTTATTAGGCATTCCTTATTCTTCTAAGAGTTACTCGATCTAAATCCTTTTGAGATATTTTAAAGTTTTAATTTCTTAAAATTGTTATTTAGTATTACTCTCTAGTAATATTCATCTTCACTAGTAAGTCAAAGATTTTAGTTTCAATTATTGGAAAGTTGATTTTGAACCAAATTAATATGGCTAGCCCATTGTGAGTTTAGCTCACTCCTCCCCTATTTAATGTAGATAATATCGAACATATTTTAAAATATGGCTTAAGATGAATGTTCACTTACGAGTTTGAACCCATAACGTCGTCCATGAGAAACGTAATGGAATACTATTTAGGGACACAAATCTTGTATTCTTATTGCACAAAATTATATGCTACCAATATCTAAAGGCTCTGCCTATGGCTCCATATGCATTAGGCGGTTGATGACTGCTGCGTTTAATCTCTAGGCATTTGAAAAATAAGAAATGACATCTAAACCTGCCTGCAATATTAGGCGCCTTGAGTGGGTGCACCACCTGCACTCCCTCAGGGTTGGCCTTGGCAGAAGAAGCACACATCCTTTACTATTACAGCAATGAAACAATATTATACAAATTCTCGACTAAAAACCTATGCCATCCCTACTTTTGTTGATTTTTAGCACCACATTGTGTCAACTATAATTTGGGGAGCGCTAACAATCTTCTTGTTTGGACTTTTTGATTTTGTTTTAATGATTCTACATTGTTATTTGATTGATAACTATAATTGTCTAGTTTCTAAATTGTGGGTTTTGGTCATTTAAATTTTATCCAATACGAACTACAATTTTCAATTAAACACTGAAATTATGATAATGTAAATCAAACGGCTAAATGCTATTTGAGTCAGTTATTTTTTTATTTTTTATTTTTTGTAAATGCAAGGTTAATCTTCAAGATGTGACCTAAAAAATAAACCGTTCCAATAATCAAGCAACAGTTTAGGATCTTAAAAAATGAAGAAAATTATAATTTTGGTGAGAGAGAAGGGTAAAATGGGAAATAGGGAAGTAGAGAGTGAGGGCCTCAGTCGCTGTGTCGAGTGGGGAAACATGGAACATTTCAAATTCTCTCCCCCTCTCTCTCTCTGAATTAAACAAATAATAATTAGTTAATTTGAATCAAATCCACAACGGCTAAAGAGTCAGAGAGACAAAACCATTCATTTTAAAATTCCGTCTCGGGCAAAGGACCACCACCATCTCTTCCCTTCTTCCTCTTCTTATTCTTCTCTGATAACCCTTCAAAACCCCTCAAAATCTTTGTCTTTCCGCCTATAATTTCACTCAACATTCTCTTTCCTTTTCTGTAATTTGATTTACCCACTTCAGATTTTCCATCTCGCAATCAAATTTATCAATTTCCGCAGGAATTTCTGTAATGGGTACTTGTTTTAGCAAGAAGAAAACCTCTCCTCCGCATCCGCCGCCGCCTCCTTCTGCTCCGCCCGCTACTGGTTACGGTTACGGTTACGGGGTGGTTGATTCGAGCATCGAGAGCAAGCCCAAATCTGAAACCCAAGCAGCGGAGCTTAAAACGAAGGTGAAGAAGCAGCCAGGAGGAAAACCAGAACAAATTGCCCAACAAGGAGACAATCAAGATCAAGAACCCCAAGTCCAAGTGAAAAAGGAGGTATTTGTCATCAAACACCGAAGGAGCCACGACGAAAGAGGGGACAGAGATTGCAAGAAAACCCCACTTCCCCAAAACCAAATCCAACCGAATTCACCACCGTCAGACGCGGCGGTTGTTTTTGCTGCTGCCACCGCTTCTTCCCCGCAGATTGGTACTGCCGCCAAGACGGGTGCTTGCAGCGAATCCGCAGATGACGTCGACAAGGTTGGGAAGCGTGTGAGGACGCTGAGCTGCAACAAGGAGGAATTGGACGCCATTCTCATACAGTGTGGGAGGCTCAGCCGGAGCAATTCTTCCGGGTCTGCGAATAGAACCAGAAAGTACTCCGGTTCGAAGAGGAGCTATGATTTCGATGCGAGTGATGGTCATGCCAATGTCAGTGATATTTGCAATGATGCTGATGGTGAGGGTGAGGGGGTTGCAGAAGAGAGAACCCACCGCCAATCCTCGAGGTCAAGGCCTTCTTCTCCTTCTTCTCACGGGAGGAGGAGAAGGAGGACACCCAGCAGAGAAAGAAATCAGCAGCAACAGCAGCAAAGGTCGAGCAGTAGGGAGAGACGAACTAGTATTTCACCGGGCAAACGCTCATCTTCTAATGCTAATTCTGCTGCAACAGCCACTTCAACTGCCAATGCGAATCCGAGGCCAGGAAAGATGGTTTCCGTCCCTGCAGCTGCCATTAACAATGGAGGGGAATCCGCAACTAACATCAAGCGAATTTCGGTGAAGAGAAATGTTGGATCGCCTCGTGCTCAGTCCCCAGCTAGAGCTCAGTCCCCAGCCAGAGTTAATGGTAGAGCTCCCAATGATGGCCAGCAGCAGCCTTCACTAAGCCGAAGCTCGTCAAGAAAAGCGGAGCACTCGCCCTACAGAAGGAACCCGTTGGCTGAGATCGATCAGAACTCCCTTGCCTATCCACAAGTCAATAACAACAACCGAAAGAAAAGAGAAATCCAGGCTGAAGAGGAGATTGTTGTCAAGGAACACACCCATCTTCAGGTAACGTATCTTGTCATTTCCTCAATATTTCGTTTGAATCGTCCTCTCCGTAGTTTAGATTAGGCAAAATGCTGTCACTGTCACTTACCTCAAAAGTTTGTACTTTTTAGCCGAAAACCAAATTGCAGTATGAACTTTTCTGAAGTTTAAGCTTGATTAATCATCTTGCAGAAACCGACTCTAGAAACCAACAGTAACAGAATTGTTGCCCAGGGTATAAACTACATAACCAGCAACAGTCCAATGGACAACAAGAACAAGGTGCTAGTGGAGGAGGCTAAGGGACAGCCACAAGGGAAACCCCAAACATTAACAAGAAGCAGGTCGTCTAGGCGATCCAGAGACCTAGACATTGATCCTGAAACAAACAGCCTTTCGCATCCTGTGCAGTCTTTGTATACTTCACTATTGCTCCAAGACATACAGAATTTCCACCAGCAGAACACGTCGAATGCAGTATCACTCCCTCCATGTGTATCCAAGGCCTGCTCCATCGCAGAAGCAGTTGCCGACCTCAACTCTACCACGAAAAGCACCCCAACTGATCAATTGAACAAAAAAGTTGGTCCTGGCTATAATGCTTCAATTGTTGGGAAGAGCATAGCAGATGAGCGAAAGGATCCTTTGGTGGAGTCTGAGGTAGTTGCCAATGATGATCTGATGGAGCCAAGCTTCCATAAGTATGTGACTGTGAGAAGGGGTACTGGTGCACTGGAAGATATGGAGGACCAGGAGTCTTCTGGCAGCAACAGCTTTGTGAGCGGTAGTTCTCGTTCGCAACAACATAATTGGGGCTTCTCTTCTTCATGGGAACCCAATTCAGCTGACTCCACTGATTGCTGGGCTTCAAGATCCAGCACCAAAGAGGAGGATCACAAAACTCCGCTGAGTTTTGAGAAGGATGAAGCTGCCAAGAGGAGATTGACTGGCCACCACCACCAGCGCAGTGGTGGGATTGGGCGTGGGAGGCTTGCTACCATCAACGCCAAAGGGCTTCCTAGACTTCCAGGTATTGCTGCTGCAGCTTCAATGTAGATGTAGTGAAGGGCTTTTTCACTAATTCATTCAGATTTGTACCTTTTGCTTTCAGCAACTCCCCCTCTAGTGTAGACTACATTTGTGTTGGCAGTTGCATACTTGCAACATTTTCCATTTGAAGCGCTTATTAAATTCTTCTTCTTTTTTGCGTAAATGCTTTCTGTTAACTGTCACGCTATAGTTTATAATTCGAGCAGTCACACGAGTCTTCACTCTTAGCAATCAGACAATACAATGAAGCATGAGATTGGAAGGTATGCATACTGAGTGTTCACGGTACGACTGATTGCAACTCTCTTTAACAATTTCATAGGCTATGTTGTGTGTGACTACGAGATACTTTTTGGGGCAGTTAGGGGTATGCAGACCTTAAGATGGTATTCTACAGCTGCTTTGATGTTCAAATACGTATGATTTGTGTGTTTGAATTTGATTGAGGATTTCAATGCTTCATTTATGTCGTTTTGTTTCTCTGCTTTTATTTCGATTTTGAATGGGATTACGGTATCTAATTTTGCTGTTAGGTTAGTTTAAATTCCCAAATTTGGGTCTTAAATCAATTAAACCAAACTGAGGTGGTGAACATCACTCCTTTACGAGGGTGAGAAAAATGCACTCGATAAAAAGAGTGTTCCGAGTCTCGTGACCAATACAGAACCTGAGAAATGGTCCAAAGTGAAGTGCACAACTGGTTCTATATTTGCCACGATATCGATCCATGATAAAAAGTGAACCGCAAAATCAGCAAAAAGAGCAAGTGATGAAAGTCTAATCAGATAAATAAACCAATGAAAACCATTAACTGTGTCTATGAATGACACGAATCATGAATGGTGTCCACTCCAGTCCACCGTAAATATAAAGCTCCAACTTTAAAGTCAATTTCAACAACATACACAATGATGAATCGCACCAAATCACTCGCTTTCAACTTAAATTTGATGCATGCATGCTACAAAATTAATCACTTCCTTGATCATAAGTGATTTAACCTTTAATGCCATAACAAGTACTCAAAACAAAGTATTGAACCAAAATACTATAACATAGTAGCTATGAAGTTGTTATTGACGCTCCTAAATCGTCACTCTGCATTGTTTTTAATGAAACAAAAAAGAAATAAAAGTATACGATGTGTTATTTTGAAGTGTTACTAACAAAGACCTCATAATCTTTTAGTTTTCCTTGATCATCCTATATCCAAGGCTTTACAACATTTATAGTGCATACAAAGACCTCTGTAAATGTTAGAGGGTGCAAAATCAATAGGTGTCGAAGCTGCTACAATTGCTTCAGCGGGAGCTGCTATCTGTATTGAACATCAACCTCAAGGGAATCGTCCACATGGCTACAATCACACTTGTGCTATAAGAAGTGAGTTCCTGTTGGAGTTGGAGCTGCAAGAGCAATGAACATGACTCTTGGAGTAATATTTAATTATTTTTAAAATGAAAATGTATAGAAATATATATCTTTTTCTGTCTTTGGTACCGGCATGTCAATAGTTGCTTTGCCTCAGCTGTTGGGAGCGAGAGGTTTGGAATATGTTTAATGTTTCTTACAGCAGTACGATAAGGAAGATTATTAGTAAGGTAGTCCATAAACTCTTACTATTGTTGCTTCGCCCATCGCTTCCATTCACCGGTCGATTGGGATTTGGTTGATCCTTCTTTTCTTTTGTTGCAGCATACATTAAAAAAAAAAAAAAAAAAAACCAAAACATAAAAGTTTCCCTCTCAAAACAAAAACACAAAAGTTGGAAGCTGCACCTCGATCGTACTTTAAGCACATTGATTAACAAATTACAAACTTCTCAACATGTGTAGCAGTAGTATTGATTCTATTGAAACACATGTGGTCCGTTGACTTATACTTTTGGGAGGTCAACACTTGACAGAACAAAGTCAAAGGAGATTAGGTCGACAGTAAGCTAGATTAAGGTGGATTTGGATCCTCTCCTGAGCTCAGGGGGCTGAGCCTCCTAAGCAAAACATACGAGCGATTGGATCAAAATCCAACGGCTACAACAGGGGATCCCTCTAAAAGTTATAATAATTTGATCCAACATCCCGTGTGATTTGCTCAGGAGGCTCAACCCTCTGAGCTCAGGAGAGGATCCAAATCCGATTAGGGTGAGCTCTAGCTCAGTAATAACAAAATCATGCACATGAAGACAAGAATAGAGTAGTTCACCCTTAATTGGACTACATCGACTTCGTGTGTGTGTGTGTGTGTGTGTGTATTTGTATTTGATTATATAAGAAGTGTGCAATTTACATAGAAACCCCCTTAGGTGTAGGTGCCTTTTACGAAGTATGAGAGAAATGAAGAGTGAAGTCAGCTTGACTTGACTAAGTCAAGCTGACCTGGGTGATTAACCAGGGAATGAGATCAGCAGGGCTAGGGTCTTTGGACAGTTACCATAACTTAGCCAAGCTAACTTGGATGATGGAATGCTCTTTTCTTAGGCCATCTCCAACTGAAGGCTGGTCAGAGGGCTAGTTTTAGTCCTCTGGCCCTTCAAGATATTAATATTTTAATGAACAGTACAGGGCTATATTGGCCTCCATCTCCAACCGAGGGCCATAGGGCCAAACAGAATTTATTATTTAAATTTAAAAACTACAACAACTTAAATTTAAAACAACAACTTAAATTTAAAAACTATAACTTATATTTAAAAACTACAAATTAAATTTAAAAACTACAACAACTTAAATTTAATATCCATAATCAACATCATTTTCATCATTTGCCATTGTAGGAGTATAGTTAGAGGTAAACAACTACCCCCGGGTCATAATATCTTTTTTTTTTCCTATCAAAATAGGCCTTACTCATTGGAGTGTAATTTGAAGTGTTCATTTCCATATTCTTATCATCCATCTCTTCTTGTATTTGTTTTGCCCATTCTTCATGCCTACGGTTCATTTCTTCTGCGTCAATGGCATTTTGTTCCGCCATTAATCGCAATGAGGTTGCCACTTCCTGTTGAGCAGCGTAATCATCATTTGCCTTACCTTTTTCCTTCAACCTTCAGGCCTTGTTTCGTCCCATAGCCCTAGGTATGGAACCTTCACCCGAAGACGGATTTTGTACCATTATTTGTTGAATGGTAGGAGATCCATCTTCATCCATATCTACAGCTGAGGATGTAGTTCCAAACACCGGCGTAGGACCTACTCTATGTTGAGGTGGATCTTCAAATAACACCCACCCTTTACAAATTTCCCAACAACAGTGAAATTGAAAGAGTTTCGAGCTGCCCTCCATATACAATTCTCTGTTTGGTGTACCTAGAAAATATAATTACAAAAATTAAAGAAATTAATTTATGAAATTAAATGTAATATAATTAAATATATTTACAAAAATTAAAGGAAAGTAATTCATGAAATTAAATGTAATATTAAATATATTTACAAAAATTAAAGGTAAGTAATTCATGAAAATAAATGTAATATAATTAAATATTTAAAATAAATTGTGAAAACATTTACTTCGTCGTAGTAGTTAGCGCCGCTTTCATGTTTACTTGCAACTGCTAACAGTGCTTGATGCTATTTGTTCAAACTTGGCTGATGATGTTTCTTCCATCTTGAAGAACAACTCTCGTTGTTTCAGATATTCGGTGGAGTGGTGCCCTTGTAGAACTCTAAGTATTTTTTGGACACACGAGTCCAAACACCTTCACTTGTTTGAGAGCTCCCCCTCACATTATCTTCCAACACCCATCTATAAGCCCTGCAAAGAGCTTCATCTTCTTTTCGGGTCCAATCCCTACCTTTTATTGCATATGAGGTCATTTGAAAATTATTGAAAAAATTGAAGGAAAGATTATTGGAAGATGTAATCCAACGGTAACTGACGTCAATTAGCCGTTGTATTTGAAATTTTGGCCTACTATTCCTGTCGGATATAACTAATAGGAATAATGAAAATTCTGGCCCGGTCCAGGGCTGGCTAAGTTGGGCTAGCCAGTTGGCCCTTTGGCCCTTTTTTGTCTAGTGAATCCCACAAGCCCTTTGGCCTAACCCTCAGTTGGAGACGGTTTTCAAACTATTTTCAGCCCCTGGCCCTCTGGACCCTTTGGTTAGAGATGGCCAACCGAAGGTTGGCTAGAGGGCTCGTTTTAGCCCTCCAAGATATTAATATTTTAATGAATAGTATATGGCCATATTTGCCTCCAGCTGAGGGCCAAATGGTCATATGACACATTTTAGCCCTGTCACAAAAAACTATCTCCAACCAAGGGCCAAGGGCCATATGGCCAAACATAATTTATTATTTAAATTTAAAAACTACAACAATTTAAATTTAAAAACAACAACTTAAATTTAAAAACTACAACTTATATTTAAAAACTACAACTTAAATTTAAAAACTACAAATTAAATTTAAAAACAAAAACTACAACAACTTAAAAAAATTGGCCCAAAAAAAAAATTTGAATCCAACGGTAACTGATGTCAGCTAGTCGTTGGATTTGAAATTTTGGCCTACCATTCCTGTCAGATATAACCGACATGAATAATGACAATTTTGGCCCAGCCCGAGGCTGGCTGGTTGGCTGAGTTAGGCCAGCTGGTTGGCCATTTGGCCCTTTTTTGTCCAGTGGGGCCCATAAGCCCTTTGGCTTAACTCTCGGTTGGAGACAGATTTCAGGCTATTTTCGACCCTCTAGACCCTTCGGTTGGAGATGACCTTACTACCTAGCTAGTCAACTAAGGGAATAAGGGCAGCTCGGCTCGAGTCTTTTAGTGGTGACTATAGCTTAGTCAAGCCAAGCCGGCCTAGATGATGAGCTCCTCTCTTCTCATTGGAGTGGGTCTCATAACTAATTTTTATTTTGTGAAAAACTAAAGATTCTTTTTCTTAAAGAGTATGATATCTAACCCATGACTCAGATCGCAAGCCCATATTTTCCTCTTTTTCTTCAGGTAAAACGAATTATGTAATTCTTTCAATTTTAAAGCTATTATTTTGGGAACTAGGGTTTATGACTAAACACAGAGACAGAGTGAGCGGTAGCTACGTACCGTCCAGTGAACAGGTTAAGGTTTCAATGTACGAACAGAAGGCTACAAGCAGGCAGCTGTGGATAAGGCTTTATTATCAACACGTGTGTTTTGTTTCATGGAAACTTCGATTTAGATCTACCGTCAAAACAGTACCAAGGAACAATCTCGAGACCCGCGAGACCCACCTGGACTAATTGGGACCCTTCATTCAATATCATGCATGATCTCAGATGATCCCAC